CCCATTGAGCACTTACTCAGCATTCCTTCTGTCAAACTTCACTTTAGTGAAACTTCACTTGTTAAAGAATCATGTTTGTTCAGGATTGTGTCAATCTGAGACTTTATGTTCAGGCTAGGACAATTTTTCTCTTCTTTCATTAATTTTAGCCAGATTTTAAATTTAAAAAATTTAAAAATCATATGCTCAGGTTGTAGTCTCCATCCCCAGCAGAGGGTATACAGGAGGCAGCCTATCCATGTTTCTCTCTCTCCCTCTCCTTTCTTCTCTCTCCAAATAAATAAATACATATTTTTAAAAATTTGTAAAATCAATAGTACATTTTTAAGGAAGAACTTATTTTTAAGCAACCTTGAATGTATATTTTAAGTACTAATACATGTACTAAAATTAAGATCTGTTCTTATTTTTCTAACTTTCTTCTGCATAATAGCAAAATGAATACCAACTGGCAGAAATGTAATCAAAATGTGTCCCTTCTTCTGGTCTAGAAAAATACTAGAATTCTAGATAATAAACCATTTAATAAAGAAGAGCTAAGGTAATGCTTGACAAGTCTGTCATCAGTCCCGTCTTTCTTTATGAAATTCCACATCTTGCCGAAAGATGGGGCTCTTATATCCAGCACAGAAACCGAAAGTGGCAGAGAAGATAAAGCTACTTTTTTAGGCACTGAGAAACTATGTCCATTACAACTGGCAAGAGCAAGAAAGTTCAGCTTCAGAGGGTGGGACAAGCGGTCTTTAGACATTTTCTTTCAGCTAGATCATCAACCTCTTAGAGACTCAGCTTCCTTGCCTGTGAAATCTAGATAAAACCACTTATTATTAAAAATGAGAGTAATACACCCTCTTAGTGTTCTAGTGCTGGAAGCCAATTCCAGCATGTCAGCAGGGCTGATCATCTGGAGATGGCTGAGGGCATTTTCCCAAACCTGAAAAGGATGCATTAAATGATTGCTTGCTGCCAGACAGCTAAAGGCATCTTAATTTACATGTTATTGCCTCCTACTGGCCAAACACCTGAACAGCCAGAGGCATTTCCTCAAATCTGACAATAGACTGTGTATGGGAAACCCTACCCTTTGATGTGTATATCTCCACCAAGCCTTAGGACAAATTGTGTTAATAAATAGCAAAGGGCCCTGAGACAAGGAGAACTTAGTTCCTTTAGCTAAGTCTTCTCTGACTCCCTATAATGCCTTTCAAAATTATGTTTCATCTCTGGAATCTTATTCAATTTATGCACAGCCCTTTTTCAGGTTTCTGAACCCTTCTAGATGCTGGATCAAGAACCACCGGCATTATTCCAGGAAGGGTGTTCAGCACTGTGACAAGTAAACAGCAGGTAGATGCACAGTGAATGTCAGCTATCGTCTGTAAAAACCAACACGGTGTTTATCTTGTTTGCTAGTGTGTCTGTTGACTCACAGTAGGTGCTCAATATATGTCAAAATTGAATGAATGGATGAATGAACCTTCAGATCACCCTACAGAGTTAGTACAATATAGCTTTCAGTCTGAGCCTCTCAAGGCTATGGAATCAGAATCTTATGCCTGACAAACCTTGCCCTTCCTGACCAATGACTCTACAACAGCTGCCTGGCGGTTCTGTGATTTGATTGATTTCAACTGCCCTTGCCCGGCTTGAGCTGCAAAGATGGCATTTCGTCTGTAAGCTATTTCATCAACTGAAGTCCTGTATCTCTACTATATCTTAACAAGAACAAAAAAGTATAACTCATATATAAACTAGAAAAGAAGCTAAATCTATCAAAACAGTACTTAAAAATTACTTTAAGCAGAAAGAGTACATCCTATATAATAAAAACCTAATATGCAAATTGTTTGACTGGGCATTCGACTACTCGCTATGACTTGTGCTGACCACCACGGGGTGGTGTGGAACATGGTGAGCATCAGCGACACAGCGCTGGTAGCAGACAGCGCTGGCAGCAGGCAGCAGTGGAGGCACTGCTGGCCCCGGTGGGCCCCAATGGGAGCAGGACTGTGACAGAATGGTGGAGCAGGTGAGTGGGCAGCGCCAGGCCAAGGTGGGTGTGAACGAGACCCAATTGCCCTGCTGAGCACCCTGCAGATGGCGAACAGTGACAGTGGCAGGGAGCAGGGCTGCAGCCCAGCTCCCAGGCACTGAGGGGGCCAGGCCAGGGGCTGGCCCCGATCGATCCCCCTGCAGACTGCAACCAGTGGCCAGCAAGCCCTAATCACTCAATCGGGGCTGGGCCCAGGGCTGAGATTGGGAACTGAGGGTGGGTGGTGGCGACCAACCTCCCACGGTGCCCAGGCGGGGAGGGGTGGGGCTGTGACCTCTCACCAGCTACCTGGGAGTGGGGGTGATGGGGATGGAGGTGTGGTGAGAATGCACATTGTCTGCTGAGCTTGCCCTCATTCCCCCTGCTACCCTCCTCCAGGACACCAAGGCTCATGCACCAGGGAAACCCCAGTACTCAGGTGCCAGGCACCCACGAGGAATGCTCCCCACACCTGCGTGGCCTCTTCTGGGTAAGCCAGGCCGCAGCCCTTGGGAGCCAGTCTACAAGGCCGGCTGGGAGAGAGCATGTTGCCCGCCCAGCTTCCATGTGGCGCTGCTGGGCAGCCCAGAGGCCCACACTGTGCCCTGGCCTGCGGCATCCAGCTGCACTCACTGCATCCCCTCATGGGGACTTGGGTGCCATGACTCAGGCAGAGGGGGCGCGTAGGGGCCTGGGGCCCAAGGTGCTGCCCAGTGTCCAGAGGTCAGCTGGGACCTGGCCTTCCATGCCAGATGCTCATGCTTCGATCACCGGCCAGGCCTAGGGACTGCACCTGTGCATGAAATTCGTGCACCAGGCCTCTAGTCTAGTTAATAATAAATGGCACCTTAACCAATAAATCTCTTAATTTCATTTTAAACTATAATGATATTTGTTCCTCAGTGATGACTCCCCAACACATTTATGTAAAGAAAGAATGTTCAAAATATAGGGACAATTTTGACAATTTCACTGTTCCTTATGGAGGTCTTTGGAAGTTTACAGGGAATCCTGTACCCTTATCTAATTTCCAAGCCTCAATATCACTGAAACGCTGCTACTCAGCATTGTCTTTCATTCATGGTCAGTTCTAGCTTTACAGTCTCCTGGGAAACTGAATTTTATTTTGTAGTGGTTGTCAATGTAAAATACACATTACAGGTCAATAATTTATATATATATATATATATATATATATATATATATATATATATATATATATACATGCACACACATAATTAGGGGGAAAAGAAAATGTTAGTACTCCTACTCCATTCTTGCAGTTAGTGTCAGAAGTGAGGGTAGGGATTGTGCCTCTAACTTTGCAGTTGATCTGATCTTTTCATAGGGTTTCGGGTTTGTTTGAGCAAGAGCCTGATTGTCACTTTTGAAGTACCAAGTTGTACTATATAGGTATAGGATGGAGTTTATGATGACCTTGCCTACCCTTAAAGTAAGCACAACCTGTCTTTAAAGTTTAAAGATCAATGACACCTTGAATGTATATTACTCTACAATAAACACCTTTATGGGGTTTTCCCACAAGAAAATATTTTTTAAATAGAAGGTGGAAAAGTATCTCTTTCAAGTATCAACAAGTGTTGTAAAGTAAGGCCAGGTGTCAACCACATGAAAATATGTTGAGTGACATACTATGATTTTATTTATGTGAAAACCAGGAATACTAATCACTGTTGATAGAAGTCAGAATAGTGGCTATCTTGGAATGTTCTGGGGTGGGGTGGGGAGATTTGAGTGCTCATTGGGAAGGTCATAGGGAGTATTTGGAGTGTTGGAAATGGTCTATATCTTAATTTGGGTAGTAGTCTCATTTTAGTATACCTCTATTTTTGTAAAGCTATACCTCAATAAAAAAATGAAAGTTCTTAGCCACATAATAAAGGAAATATTGAGTGCAAAAATTTGTATTGCTTTAACAAGTATTTGCTATCTGCTATGTGTCAGGCATTCTGCTGCTACTTGTGGTTACAATATAGAGCAAGAACCAGAAATGAAACCTGTTTATAAACTACCAAGTAAGCCATTTTTAGCCTTTAGGCTACCACCAGCAACAAACTGGTGTGGACTTTAAACTCAGTGTGTCTTATTTTCTAGAATCAATCCTACAAATAACCCTTCATAATTTTGCATATAAATTCTACCTCTTCTTTATGCCCAATTCAGTGTTCACTTTTTGCACAAAAGTTTTTAATCTCCTGAATGCAGCAGTGGCCTATTTTTACTTTGGACAATTTTGGGGATTCATAATATACCTCACAACTCAGCACTTAATTGTTCTCAAATAGTTTTGTGTTAAATTTGTCACCCACCCAGCCCTAACTGGTTTGGCTCAGTGGATAGAGCGTCGGCCTGCGGGCTGAAGGGTCTAGGGTTCAATTCCGGTCAAGGGCACATGCCCAGGTTGCAGGCTCAATTCCCAGTGTGGGGAGTGCAGGAGGCAGCCGATCAATGATTCTCTCTCATCATTGATGTTTCTATTTCTCTTTTCCTCTCCCTTCCTCTCTGAAATCAATAAAAATATGTTAAAAAAAATTTTGTCACCCACCCACATTATAAGTTCCTCTAAGTTCCTTGAGACTAGAGATCATATATTTTTTTAAAGTTCCACAATGCATAGCAAAGTGTGGGTTATGTGATATATGCTTAATTATTGTGGGAAGAGTGAATGAAATATTCAATTTGACTGTATTAAACATGCTTAAGAACACTCTAAACTTCAGGAAAAATTAATCCTTAAAATAATTAATATCCAAGATTTTATGTTGCCATTTTTTTTATTCTCTTATTTTCAAGCTCTCTTATGTGCTTGAAAGCGAGAAAATTATTCTTGATATTCCACTCATTCTGATAAGAAATGAAGAGAGGCTCTCCTTAGGTTTTTAATACCAGTAAATTTGCTTTAATTGAGCAAGAAAAAAGCATCCTGGATAAAAAAAAACTTGTCTCCAAATATCTCTTCATCTCCCATAGTAATAGAACTCCTGACAAAACACCCCTGACAGCTGTCAACCTTTCTGGATTTTGCTTATTCATTAATTTTGTTCATTAGATTCCACATATGAGTGAAATCACTTAGCATAATGAGTATGAGTCTTTTTAAATCTATTTTCTGGTACCCTATAGTCTACTAAACTTGAAAACTTTTCTTCTATATCCTAAAAAGGCCTCCTATAATTAAACATATAATTAAAAATATTTTTCTCAATTTTTCTTTTTTAAACTCTTCCACTAGTTGAATGTGAAGTCTGCTGAATTGGCTCTCCATGAATCTTTTCTCATATTTTCTTTTATGTTTATGTATGCTATGTTCTAGATTTCTTTGGTTTTACTTAAGTAATGATGTTTTATAAGTGTTTCAGAACTCTATTTCATTCTATGGTTGTTCCTTTTTCAAAGTACCCTGATGTAATATATTTTTAATACTGGAGAATTATAAATTGGAGTGCTTTTTAGAAATGTTCTTTTATCTCAGGAATTATACTTGATTCCTTTGGAGTTAGTTTTTCTACCTGCCTTTCTTTGTCTTTTTCATAGTGGTGATAACCCTGATTTGCCTGTTGATTCTTTTTATGTTCATCCCATCTAATAAAAGAGAAATATGCAAATTAACCATCACTCGACAACAAAGATGGAAAGCACCCATAGTGGTCCAGGGTGGGTCGCTGGTGGTGTCGCCCCAGCAATGCGAGCCCAGCGTCTGCGCCCCAGCCGCATGGAGGCAGGGGAGGGTCCCCAACCCGGCCACGTGGGAGGGGAGGAGCCTCAGGCCAGAGGCCAGGGCGAGGGATGCTGGGCTCACGCTGGGCTCATGGTGATGCAAGCCCAGTATCCCAGCCCCAGCCACATGGAAGGAGGAGAGGGGCCTTGGGCCAGAGGCCGGGATGAGGGACGCTGGCATTGTTGCAGGCTGGGCTGAGGGACCCTCTACCCCCTGTGCATGAATTTTGTGCACCAGGCCTCTAGTATATGTATAAAAAGAATTGGTCATTAATATGGTTTTCCTCTGTTTTTAGTAGATAGAATGTCTTCCAGTTCACTCTCCTTTATAGATAGTTTTGATAAATTCAATGAAGTATATTTTTTTTGGCCAGAACTATCTAATAGAAATAAGATTCAAGCCATATATTAAGTCTACCAGGCCTGAGGCCCTGAACCTAACTGTCCCCTATACCTGGGCTCCTGAGCATTAAAGAGAAAAAACCAACATGATATAGAAAAATGTTAGTTACATGCAAACAAGTGGTTAGAATAAGATGGAACTTGGAGACATTGTAGAAAATAGGTCTACCTTTCATCTAGTGCCAATATTCTACCTTTGTGTGCCAATCCACTGAAATTACCGAAAAATCGGTACAGTGGTCTGGTAGGGTTAAAATTTTCTAGTAAGCACATTAAAAAAATAAACAGGTGAAATTAATTTTAATATATTGACCCAATATATGCCATTATTTTAACATGTAGTCAGCATAAGTATTAAGATATTTTACATTTTGAACGGGGAGACGGGGGGGGGGTGGTGGAGGAGGGACAAGAAAAAAAAGATATTTTACATTTTTTTGAACTAAGTCTTCAATATCTGGTGTGTATTTCAGATTTACTGCATGTCTCCATTCAGATTAGCTACATTTCAAGTGTAAATAGCCATATTTGGCTAGTGGCTACCCTACTGGACAGGGCAGTTCTAGACACAGTCTATTTTCATTTCCTCCTTCTCCCTTAAGCCTCTGGAATTGTAATGAGAACAATAAATGTACTAGCATTTATTGTTAGTACTGCTCATTATCATATGGCCTCCTTTCATTATTTACCTTTTGATGCATTTTGTCTTGTCTCATAGCTAACCTGTAAATTCTTTTTAAGGCTGAAATTATAGACTAATTGAATCTCAAGGTTGGAAATGGCTTTAAAAAAACCATCAACTAATTCTCTTGATGCATGGCTTCTCTGTACCCATTCCCCTTTAAAAACCATAGGAATCTACTTAAAGTAAAATCCAATGGTCAGGGCTTCCACCCACCCTAAGCCACAACTTTTCTGGCTAGTGTTAGAAGGAAATCTTCTTTTCAAATCTGAAATCTGTTTCTCTTAAGTGTGCACTTCTTAAGACCACATGAAACAAATCTGTCCTCTGATGAGTCTTTACTTATTTGGAGGTAGTCCCAGTAGCTTTTTCCTTTCTATAAAAATCCTTCCAAGTTTAATCACTACTTCTTCATTGGTGGTACTTTTGAGTTCTCTCCATCATTTTGCTCCCCTTGGAAATAATTCCAACTTCATTGATGTCTTCTTGAAGTGCTCAATCTAGAACTGAACAAAGAACTCCAGATGTGGTTTGGCCGGTGAAGAGTATCACTGGGTCACTATTGACTGCTTCTCTAAAAAAAAAGTTCAACCAGGTTATGACATATTCCTATGAGAAGGGGGGATGGAAGAGCAAATTATTAACACATTATTAACTCATACTGTAATAGGGTATAAGGTATAGACTAACAAAACTTACAGTCTAAAACAGTGATGGCGAACCTATGACATGTGTGTCAGAGGTGACACGTGAACTCATTTTTTTGGTTGATTTTTCTTTGTTAAATGGCATTTAAATATATAAAATAAATATCAAAAATATAAGTCTTTGTTTTACTATGGTTGCAAATATCAAAAAAATTCTATGTGACACGGCACCAGAGTTAAGTTAGGGTTTTTCAAAATGCTGACACACCGAGCTCAAAAGGTTCACCATCACTGGTCTAAAATATGTTTCATACTTAAGCATGTTACAGGTAGCAGCAGTTCCAGTTCTCCTTTTCACCGGTCTTGATCACAGTAGTCCAGCAGATGTTGATGGCTAGCCAGGCCTGAAACATTCTGTCCCCAGATATCAGCAATAAAACCTGCAGTGAGAAAGAATGATAGACGCTGACACATACCAAAGAGAACATCAAAACCACCTGAGAGTGGGAATGTGAAACTGCAGGTCACCGGAATTCCTTAGTACCCCTCTTTCAACAGCCCACCTATAAAAACCCCTGCCTGCACTGAGATGCTAAGATGGGCTTGGAGATGAGAGTCCCCCATTTTCTCCAGTGATGAGCACTTGAATAAACCTCTTTCCTTCCAGCAGCACCTGTGTCGGGTGTTTGGCTTCAGGGTGGCAGGCAAAAGCCCGAAGGTCCTTTGGGCTGGTTTCAATACCATGTTTACATGCCCAACTTTTAGTCCAGGACTATACATGCATACACTGCACAGTTCTTGCGGATAGTCAATTTTTTCCTGAATGTTGCCTTCCTGTTGTTTTCAATTTAGCCAGAGAATCACCAGTTTGTTTTTGGTGGTGGGTGGTCCAACCAAAGAGGCAACTAGCAGAGATAACTTGAAGAGAAGTACACGAGAATCCAGAAAGCAGGACTTGAAACCAGGGAACCCTGTACAAAGTACTCAGCAGCGGGAGCTCTGGCTGGTGATGGCATTTGGTGATGGCATTTACCTGGTTCTGCATACATAGTCACGGCTCCTCTCTCCTTTGCCTTTAAGAGGAACGCTTTTCTCCAGGCCTTCACTTTACAGATCAGGGCGGGAGGGAGATTCGGCCGACTCCAGTAATTGCAGGGTTAGACTCTCAGACAAACAGCTGGAGGAGACAAGCCTGGGCACGCAACAGACCTGGAGTCACCGTCCGGGCGCGCCCTCGCCTCGGGCCAGGTCCTGCTCCGAGCTCAGCAGGCCGGGGGCGGGGCGGCCGGCGGCGCGCGCACGCGGAAGGGGCGGGGCCGGAGGGAGCGACGTGCGTACGTTGGCGCCGCGGGTGACGTGGGGGCCCGCGCCGTCTCCGCCCCATCCCTACTTGCCGGGTCTGTGCGTCTGGCGGTGGCGGTCTGGCCATCCGCGCGTGCTGTGACCTGGAACAGCGAGCGGACCCGGGCAAGCCCGGCGTTAGGGTGCGGACCAGGGCGCGGCGGCCTCCTGGCATCCCCAGCCCTGCCCCGCGCGCCCCACCTGGCGTGGGAAGGCAAAGTAAAACCGAAAGGGAGGGAGGCGCGGAGCCCGAGCTGACGGAGGGATGGGAAGCGCGTGAGCCCGAGTCGAGAGGTGAGCAGGTGGGGAGGGCGGCGGGGAGGGGGCGCCGCGGCCCCGTGGGGCTGGCGGGAGGCGGGGACTGCGGGGAGGGCGCGGCGGGCGGCTGGCCCCTCGGTGGTGTGCGTTCTGCCTGGGAGGCCGCCCCGGGCTGTCACCCTCTGCCCGGACCGTCCCAGACCTCCGGCACTTCCTCCCATTCTTGGAGTTTGTACGTGGGGCCGGGATCACAGAAAGGACCCGAGCCACACATTTCCCAGGTGTTAGGCCACGGAGTGAGGGCCACGTGTGCTGGTTATTCCTTCCCGTGTGTCGGGAATTAGTTTTCGTGTGTGTGTGTGTGTGTTTCGTTCCAAAGTCGTGGTAACTTTTTCGTTTTCTTCACGTAGATTCTGGGAGGGAGTGCTGCTTCCTTGTGTGTGTTTTTTTAAACCTGCACTGAAAGGTAAATAGGCTGGGCAGGGAGCTGACCATAGTGAGTTGTGAGTGGATTTAGCAATCGGGCAGTCTAGAATGTCGTTTTGAAGTAAGTGTGTGTGTGTGTGTGTGTGTGTGTGTGTGTGTGCGCGCGCGCTACGTAGGTTTCTTATTACAAATTGGCTTATTCATTGACTGCAGTGTGTTCTTGTGTCCTGCTATTCTTTGGTTTAAAAGAAGCGTAGTTTTAGTGGTAGCTAAAAGTTTGATACGAGTGTAATCACATGTGCAGTTCTAAATAGTAATCATATTTTCTGTTTGTCCCTAGGTTAGATTGAATAGCTGATGTTTCCATCACCAGATTTCATGATTCATAGATTGAAATTATTTCTCTGATTTTCAAAGTGTTGTCAAAAGTTAAGAATTCAACTTTGGCTTCTACTCTGCACTGTGCGTTCATCATCCGTTTGTAATGATAGTTACGATAGTCTCGCGTTAGAAAAAGTTTCCCTAGAGATGCCAATTAAATATAGGCTAAATAACTTTGATTGAATTTATTTTTCATGATTTAGCTTGCTTGATCCCTAAACAGCTTTCTTTTGTCACTAATGTTTGCTAGCATTTTCAAATACTTGCTAGGCCATTTTGAAATTGTCAGTGATTTTGAAATCAAGTTACTCGGTTTTATAGCTAAGAAAAATGTCATGCAAATATGATAAAGAAAAACTTACATTCCATACCAAGAAAGAATGCTTACTGATGAGACAGGTTGTCTTTTTAAAAAATTTTCTTTACTTTTTTTAAAAAATATATTTTATTGATTTTTTACAGAGAGGAAGGGAGAGGGATAGAGAGTTAGAAACATCGATGAGAGAGAAACATCAATCAGCTGCCTCCTGCACACCTCTCACTGGGGATGTGCCCGCAACCAAGGTAAATGCCCTTGCCTGGAATCGAACCTAGGACCCTTCAGTCCGCGGGCTGACGCTCTAACCACTGAGCCAAACCGGTTAGGGCTTTCTTTACTTTTTAAAAAGTGAATAAAAATGTTTAACAGGCTAAATCAGATGGAACAATATAAAAATGTTAAATTCTGTTCTTATTTATGATTGAAATAAATATCCTTCCATCTTGATTTAAGAAACTTAGTTATAAAATTCTACATGAATGACTTATAAGAAGGAATTAATATGAAGGTGATACTCCGTTTGCAAAAATAAGTTTAGTACATTTTCCCCCAGTGTTGCATGCATTTTCTAAAATGAGGCCTGCTTAGGTAATACCTTGGAGACTCACTAAACAGTTTTTCCTTAGCATTCTTTAAGGAGTGAAGGAAGCTTTGCAAAAATATTAGTACTGTCTCTACTCCAGGGATTGAACTGGTAAGGAAGAACTTAAAAATCATTTCTGGGAAGCTTCACAGATTAATGCTCTAAGTACACATCACTGAACAAATATTTATTGAGTTCCTTGGCACAGGCCAAGAACCATGCAAGATACCAGGGAAAAGTAAGACATACACTACTTCTTCACTGTTGGAGATTCTAATCAGGATGCTGGCTTTGTGAGACTATTCAGTGAATTGACTTCTGGCAAGGAAAAATACTCATGTATGGCCAGTGAACGCTCCCTTGACCAACCTGAAGTTTGCAAAATGAAGGCTTTGTCACTGATTTAAAAAGTGAAAAAGTCACTGATTTTGGCCATCAACTTGGAAAAAAATGAGGGAGTTTGAAGAGTGACTGATTTTACATCAGTTTTTTTTGGAGCTCTTCTATTTGTATTTATTAGAAATAGAACACTGGAAGAACATTGCTGGAATTCTGAATCCAGTGGGCCATTTGGCCACATTTCTTGACATCATTTGACATTGTTGACTGTACTGGTTTCTTAAAACCCCTTCTTTTCTTGGTTTTGGAGATAACACACTTCTGTGTTTGTTTTCTACCAGCGTTTTTTGGTCTTCTACTGTAGAAATTCCCTCTTATAAACCTTTTCCATCTATTTATTCCTTAAAGGCTCATGTGCTGCCACCTCATGCTGCCTTTTCTTCTCAGTCTACATAAAAATCCTTGGGTGATTTTTTTTCTCTCTTCTAGTGGTATTCCTCATGATTCTGATATTTACTTATTTATTTATTTATTTAAATATATTTTATTGATTTTTTTATGGAGAGGAAGGGAGAAGGATAGAGAGTTAGAAACATCGATGAGAGAGAAACATCGATCAGCTGCTTCCTTCACACCCCCTACCGGGGATGTGCCCGCAACCAAGGTACATGCCCTTGACCAGAATCGAACCTGGGACCCTTCAGTCCGCAGGCCTACGCTCTATCCACCGAGCCAAACCGGCCAGGGCTGATTCTGATATTTAGATCCTAAACCAGGGGTGGGCAAACTTTTTGACTCGAGGGCCACAGTGGGTTCTTAAACTGGACCGGAGGGCCGGAACAAAAGCATGGATGGAGTGTTTGTGTGAACTAATATAAATTCAAAGTAAACATCATTACATAAAAGGGTACGGTCTTTTTTTTTTCTTTAGTTTTATTCATTTCAAACGGGCCGGATCCGGCCCGTGGGCCATAGTTTGCCCACAGCTGTCCTAAACCAATCTTTTCTCTACCACACCTGAATATTCAATCTTTACTGTACATTTCATACAATGTCATACAGACATCTCACATTCAACTTGTTTGTGATTGAATTCATGATATTCCTGCCATTCCCCTTCCCATAAAAGAAAATCCCCGTAGTTCAGTGAACTGTACCGTCATTCTGATCTATAAATGTGGAAGTCGGCCTTGATTTTTCCCTCTACCCCACCACAAATACAGATAATTAGAACAAGCCAAATAGATTTGATTTAATCACTTTGATTCATCCACTCTCTTCTGAATCAGTATCATTACCTCAGTTCAGGAACCCGTCCTCTTTGCTTTTCATCTGGATTACTGCAATAATTTTCTAGTACCTTTCGCTTCCCCATCTTGCTTTCCTGTGTTCTATGCCCTTTACTGCAATCATGGTAATCCTTATTAAACACAGCTCAGGTCAAAAACTCTTTGGGAAATTTTTTTACTATCAAAATAATTTCTATACAACGTAACTTATGAGGCCCTTCATGACCTGCTTCTTACCTATCCCTCCAGCTCCATCTCTTATCACATTACTCATTGACCACTACACTCTGTTCATCTTTTCAGTTCCTGAATGTGAAATGTTCTTACCCCTGAGCTGGAATATGTTACCCTCTTGACCTGGCCAACTCTTCATTCTTGAAGTCTCAGTATAAGAAAGCTGCTTCCCCTTCCCAACTCTCTTTTTGTTCTGATCATACTCTTCACTGGCCACTTTTATAGCGGTTTTCTTTTGTATGGACATAGATTGTTTAATTGGCTTGTCTTCCCCACCAGACTATAAACGTCACAAGGGCAGGTACCACATTGATTTTGCTCACCATGGCCACCTGCCTAACATGTAGTAGAAATACTAGTCAAGAAATTTCAGTTAAATGAATGAAAGCTGTTTTTACATTCTACGATGATTTTCCTTCTGAGCCCACTCCCACCTTTAGAGTTTCTAACAAATACCGATTTTTCTTTTACCCTTGCTTTTGCTTTTCTGCTCTATTAGCTTGAGATTTCAAAAATGTTTACCTGAACACTAATTTTAGAATTAAATTTATGCGTGTGTGAGTTTTTGAGTTCTTTGAGAAAAATGGCATAGTGAGTTGAATAAGTCACATTAGATTTTGATTTCTTTATGTAAATTTGGAGTAAACTTACTAGTTTGTAGAACATCTTATCTCTTCTTAAGAACTGAAATACATTAATCAAATAATTAAACTAATTTCTGTGAAAATATATTTTGAAGTATTGAAATAAAGATGATATAAGCATTAAAAAAACAAATATATGGGAATCCAGACCTGTAAATATGGTCCTCTTTTTGTGGCAGCTTTGGCCTCCCTTTATCCCAGTGGTTCTCAACCTGTGGGTCATGACCCCTTTGGGGGTCGAATGACCCTTTCACAGGGGTCGCCTAAGACCATCGGAAAACACATATATAATTACATATTGTTTTTGTGATTAATCACTATGCTTTAATTACGTTCAATTTGTAACAATGAAATTGGAGGTCACCGTAACATGAACTGTATTAAAGGGTCGCGGCATAAGGAAGGTTGAGAACCACTGCTTTATCCTTTTTGTCAGTCCATCCATTATACAAATATTTATTGAGAATTTACTATGCCCCAGGCACTGTTTTAGGTGGCTGTGGATA